TACTGTATTTTTCTCTTAAATTTGTAAACTTGATTACTCGAACTAGAAATACTTAAACTTATAATATTAACCATCTCGGATTCTCAAAAAATCTTTTTATAATTTTCACCACCAATTCTTTCTTCAATTCTTTCTTCCAAACTTAATTTCTTGTGAATTTCTTGTTAAGTCTAGTTCATTTAAACGGTAAAGTATGTTTAAATTATTTTTATTCTTTAAGATTTACAGGGCCCCTCATCTCCTTTAACTACGTCCACGAATTTTGGCTCAATCGAGATAACTTTAGACAAAATTTTTTATTTTAAAAAATGCTTAGAGCACACACATCGAAAATCAGGACATTGAACATGAAATTTAAAACATTTTTTAAATGTTTTTTAATGTCTTAAGATCTAATTTTGACATGTATATTGTCTGGACATTATTTCAACCAACCTCGATTTTAAGTCAAAGTTACCCTATTTTACGCGGTACTTTCAACGTCAATTTTTTTTAATATTTCGACATATCTCGCGAATGCATAACGAGAAATCCCTCATTGTGAGATCGCGATGTCGCAATTAATCTTCAAAACTGCCAGGCCACGACGTCCTTGATAAACATTGCGATAATAGTTAGCATTTTACCTCACAGAGTCAGAGCCTGACCTACATCTTGTACGTTTGATAACCGACCTTTTCATTAACGCGGGATTTATTCGCGCCGCAGTCCGTCCATCAAAAGATGTTTACTTTCCGTCGCGACGCGCGTCGAGGAAGATTATTAATACGGTCGCTTGAAGTAGAACAGAATCGTCGGATGGAACTTCTTAGTCGCCGTTTTGTTTTGATGATGCAACTGTGCACCGTGAGAGCTTTAATTGCGCCCGTAAATTTTACCGCTGTCTACTCTGCATGCAGCGGCGGAAGAGTCAACGAAAGGCACAGCTTAAAAATTAATACCGATTCAGCTTGGAAAAGCACGATCTTTCTAAAGGAAAAAAATTTTACACACATTCGATGGAAGCAAATCTTTGTTAATAATGTTTCTCAGAGCTCAATTTTAATAAATATTTACCATTAATCATTAATTTGATTTAACTGTTATATTTTTTATTTAGCAAATATTTACTTTCTCTAAATAAATGTTATACTAAAATTATTCAATAATTATTTATTAAAATTTAATACATTTTCTCTCTTTAAATTTTCAAATACATTTCCGAGTTCTATGAATTGCGCCCCGATTCAATTTATCGGACTTTAAATACAATTATAAGTTGAAGCTGAAAATAATATCACAAGTCACATTGATTGTGAATCTAATAATGATGCTAATAAGCATTTAAAAAAACTTTTTTGCTGTGTTTTAAGATAATTATTAGCATCATTGGATTGACGATCAGTGATTTGTAATATTTCCAGCTTCAATTTATAATCGCGTTTTAAGTCCGATAAATCAAATTAATGTGCAGTTTATATAACTAAAAATTCTATTTAAAAATTTACATAAAAGTACTATTAAGCATCAAATTAATTTCGCTTCAACCGAATATAGAATTCTTTCTATTATATTATTCATTTCCATTTTCCAATTTTTCGTTATTCTTTATAAAGAAGAAATATAAAAGGTATTTAATACGTTTTAGTCAATTGTTATTTCAGGTGAAAAGAATGGAATTATTAGAGAGTGCATTTTATTAAAACTAAAATCAACAACCTGATTTATCTTTTAAATATTATCGAAATAAAATTCTTTCCACGAAATAAACGTTTTAATAATTTAGTTTAATGTTTGTTGGAAGAAATATATATAAAAGTTTTGCGGGAAAGAAATACACATTGCATGCACATTTGTACCAAGAAAGCGAAATGTAGGACAAATACTGATTTTCAAAACGTTCTAAAAATTTTCGTATTTATCGCATGAAATGGAAATAAGTCCGTTCACATTACACGTGCATGGGACGTCAAGAAATATTTGAAATACGTCTGTGATACGCTCCATTTCACCAAGGTGACATTCCATCGAGTGTCCGTAGATAAGGAACAATGCGAGATCGTATCTCAAATTTTTACTTTACAAAGGCTAAAGGCGTATTTCTTACCAGTCATCGCCGCAGTTTCTGAAGCAATCACGGAAAAAATAGATTGGGTAGTTTTCAGCAAATATAGCTGGGCGGGTTCAACACCTATAACTAAGATTTGATGGTTCAACAAAGGAATTATGTCTGTAAGCAATTATCAGTATGCTAATTCAGCTAATTCTTTGCTACAATAAAAATTGCTAATGTGACATTGCTTTCTTCCTTACTACAGCAAAAGTACACGTCATAGCTAGCACGTTTTGTTAAAAATTTCGGATATTGGATTTCATAGAAAGTTACCTTTGCTGTATTAACAAATTTATTGTACTTTACCACAAGTATGATTATTTATAGGTAATTGCTAATTATATTTAACTATATAACTTTGCTACTTTAACATAAAAACTAGCTCGTATATTATGGTTGTAGATTTGCTGAATCAATGAAATTTTTAACACCAAATCTTTTTTCCTATGATTGAAATTACAGCAAGAAAATGCTGATAAATGATTTTTCAAAAATGATATCTTCTTTGAAAGTTTTCCTAACTGAAATTTGAAGTCTTATCTCTCAAAGAATCTGTCATTAAAATTAAGTTTAAGATTTTTATAGCATTTCTCAAGGACAAATTACGTGTAAAGTTTTGCGCTGACATCTTCCCGCTGCAGCCATCGTTCATCGCAACCTTGTAGCGTGGTTTACAGCTCCGCAAGTTGATATCTCGTGTTACCATTGGTTACAATTTAACGCGTATTTATGGAGAAGTCAACTCTATTAATATGCAACTTGGAATATTATCATATATATGAGTAATCGACAAGCGGCTTATTATTAGAGAGACGAAGTTTGAGGGGCAACGGGTGTGCGAGTTTCAAGATATTTATTGTAACAACATATCGTCAGCATTGTAAGAGAAAAAACTTTTATATCTATTTCTTCCATATCTGTGATTATAATATATAATAACATTACTCTATAAATTCTTTGAAGTAGAATCTCGCACTTTAAATAATCAAAATTGAGCCTGTCTTGAAAAAAGTCGCTCAATTTTCAATCTTTCTCTCTTCAGAGTGAAATTTGTTCTAAAAATAGTTTTAGAGAGCACATTATATAAAAATGATTATAAATCATAGTTAAATTATAATATTTACAATATTTTTATGGTAATATAACTTTATAAATTTAAGTCATTTTCGTCCACCTATATATATATATATATATAT